TAAATTTTCTCAAAGCGCTTTACATTATTCCTGCCCAAAGCCCCCAGTGAGCAAGCCACCTCTGGCAAGAAAAACTCCCTAGAACTGGGATCAGCAACCTTATTAAAGCAAAGAGCCATTTTATCTTAAATGTCTGACCCAAGATTTACAAGTAGCCGCAATGGGTAGAGAAGGGGGTTTGAGTTTTGATTTTTTAATGTGAGAATATATGCATTTAACACAAGCACTTATAAAAAATACAGAAAGACAATTTGCAGAGGAGGCATTTCAGTTTTAAATCACTTGGATGCGTAACAGCGCAAAGGTGACTGTGACTAATATTACAACACTGTTCACTTCTGTAGTGAGTCTTCACCATCACCCCTTCTTTTTTGAGTAACGTGCGTTTGGCTCTGCAGTCCTTCGGCCTTCACTCTCCGCTTCACCACTGTAAGTGTGCTGACCCAGCCGTGCAAACTGCAAAATGTACTCACTACTCTGAACTCAGCTGGCTATAATATGTAAATCTGATGGCATGGTGATGATTTACTACAAAAAGTAATGAAAAAATGAAATAATTAGGAATCCCAATAAATGTTGAAGCATATATCCAATCCTCCAGAAAACATACCATTTCAGCAGAGATGTAATCTGGCTGTGGAGAATGACTTTGAGGAAGATGTAAATAATGCAGTGAAGACATCACAGAAGTGCTAATGGACTGGCTCATTCACATATAGCCAAAGAAATATCTAAATGAAACATAATAATATTTACCCATGAATAAATCATCTTTACGAAAGTATTATAATATACTGAGACATGAAAATGTGAATGTCGTTCTGAAAAGAGCTGCAGCCACGTGGTCAAATCATCATCATCACCATGATCATCATCACCGTCATCATCATCAGCCTCATCATCATCACCATGATCATCATCGTCATCATCATCAGCCTCATCACCATCACCATGATCATCATCACCGTCAACATCATCATCATCGTCATCACCATGATCATCACCATCCTCCTCACATCATCACCATCGTCATCACCATCGTCGTCATCATCACCATCGTCATCATCACCATCGTCATCTGCCTCACATCATCATCATCATCACCTTCATCACCATTGTCATCATCATCTGCCTCACATCATCACCATGATCATCATCACCATCATCGTCATCATCATCATCACCATGATCATCATCATTGTCATCATTGCCATTGTCATGGTTGGCCCATCTAATCTCCGTCTTGTGTGCTTGGTTTACGTCATTGGTGGGGGAGTCTTGTCAGATGTAATGTGGGTGGGGTTTGTGCTGTTCAGCACTGGCATTGCGAATTGATCATCCATTCACTTCTGTTTTGTCTGGTCAGATCAGGGTTTCTCAGTGTACAGAATACTACAGAATCCACATGGATGAAATCCTGGCTTTCCAAATGAAGAATCCACAGTGCAGGTTGTCGGCTGAAATGACTGGCTGCTCCTCTCTGAAACACCCCCAAAACCATGGCTCTCTCATACCTATGGCGGTTTGGCTTTCCATCCCAGAGACCGAATCCAGCGACACCAGACTCACGGCCTCTGCATGCTTGTTCCCTTAGATTAATGCTGAAGGCTCACTAAACATGTCCACAACTCTTGCCTGACATGTTGTTATAATCCATTAAAAAGAAAAATCCTGGCAACGTGATGCCTAAAAGCAATTTTACTCAACACAACTTATCAGACTCCCAGCACGAAGCGAGAGGCGGCGGATGCAGTGGGAACATCTGCCGTCCTGCTGCTCCATAAACCGCTCCATCTGGAACCAATAAATTAATTAACTAATTAGTGTAAACATACGGGGGAGGAGTCACGTGGGTCTATGTGTGGGCAGCTGCGGCAGGAATATAATTCGGGTTGAAGTTTACAATAATAGTGTACGGCCATGTGACAGGATTAAAAAAACAGATCTGGATTTCTTTGCTTTCCATCAGAAAAATTAACAGGAGGACAAAAAACAGCAGAGTCTGTGCTAAAAAGTGAGGGTATGGAAAAGGCCATGGCTCCTGCTGTTTGAAACAGGGCCCCTGTGGAGCATTTACTGTACCCTAAGGAGCCTCCTGTTTGTTTAGAGCGCTGTGCAAACACCCTGCTTTCCATTCGGCGTGAGGAAAATGTGAGCTTTGCCTGAATGAAGCTCTCACCAGCTCTCCAGGTCAATTAGCTCTATTCTGAAGGGACTGGACTCGTTTTCTTGGGGGTGGGGGGAGAGCCCCGGGACTCGGGGGGGCATGTTTTGGGGCGAGGTCATTGTCATTGCCGCCGTCCCGTTGGGGCTGTCAGACAGCAGCTTACAGGCCCCCAAAGCCCCCCGGAATCAGCGTGGAATACACGTGCTGGAATACACGTGCTCGCAGGAGCTGGTGACTAACGGCCTCGGGGTGGACCTGCCTGTTTCTTCAGAGATCTTTCATCCCTCCGCCTCCACCTGTGATGTTTGCCTTAGGTTTGTCTAACAAGCTGGGCTCACACAGAATCCCGCCGTGCGGAGCGGCGGCGGCTCCGGCACCGGCTCGCTCCCTCGCTGTTTTTATAGCGCACTTGTGTTTCTTTCCTCTTTCCACCGGGGTCTTAATGGCTGTTTGCTCAGGCTGCTTCAGTGATTAAGGGTCTCTGCTGCTCTCCAAGACAAACAGACGCCTATCCCTCGTGGAGCTCAGTGAGGCAGGTTCTGCACTGGCCGTGCAGCAGCAGCGATGGCTGAGGGCTGAGGGTGGACACCCCCAGCCGGTCTCGTTGAGTGGGGTATTGTATTGCTCATGGAGCACGGTGCACTGGAAAGGGGGGGGCAGTGCACGGCCGTGTCATGTGACAGGTTGTCGCTCTGGTGGGGATCCAGCTGCGCACAGATGGGGGAGGGTGGGGCTTGTATGTGTCTCACAGGTGGCTGCTCCTGTCCACCAGCCCCACATCAATCACCTGCATCATCAAGCATGATGTGCAATGTGACATATCAAAGGGGGCTTTGTGCAGCAAAGTGTCATGTGACCCACATCGAGGTGAAGCAATATACAGATATGCAGCATTTTAGTGAAAAAGAATTCAAATGGCTGAACATTTATAGTGAAGTAACCAGTTCCTGTTAAATTCTGCTAGTGCAACACCAGCATCATGGAGATTTCAAAGATTTTATATTTGTATATTTGCATGTTTTACTGAAGAAGTTCTGATCCATCTCTGGTTCTCAGGATGACGACAGTGACTCCATGACTTATCCTGTACCTGGATCTACATTGTGGTTTGCTGAGAAGACAAGCAGTTGGGGGGGAGGGGCCATAAAGGACTTGGCTATCACTGGTTGGGCAATGGCAGTGCCAATCTTGCAGCCCTAACCGTGCTATTGGCCTGCACAAAGCCAATGGCCAATTCTACATAAAAATCGAAAGTTCTCAAGAGGAGTTCTGCTGCAATTCTGGCCGCAGTAAAATCGGCCCTTAGCTCTCCCTCAGAATGGCGCCCCCAACAGGCCTGGAGGACCATGGCTGCGGCACTCTGCTGGGTAGCAGTTTGAGGGTTGAGGAGGAGGGACACCTTCACTTTCAGATTAGAGAACAAAAACGGCATCTCGGGGAAATCCTCTCAGCACCTTCGATGTTCTGCCTGCGAGGCCCGGCTGACATAAGCGGAAACGCAACGCTGAGGATGCAGACCAGGCACACGCATGGCATTGTGGGAAACCGCTCAGAGAGTCGGAGAACCTGAAGATGCTGGCGCATGTTCAGAGAAGGGAAGAACTTCACAGGGTTATATAAAGACCCATGTTCTCTTTATTTAAAGTCTTTTTTAAAAAAAATGTACAGAAAACATTAAAACTTAGGTGAATCAGCCAGGTCCCGGTATATCTAGTAATAATAATTTAAAAACAAATGGAGCTGCTGTCTGCTTCTTACAAACCCATCCTAACATCATTATCCCTCACACCTCTAGACTCCAACAAGCCTCAAAAACGGTCATGTGACCCAGTTAGTTGAATGATGTCACAGTGCTGGGGAATTTCCCTGCTTTCAGATAAAACTGATGAAGCCATGAGGTGAAATGTTTCCTTGATCTAACAGCAAGTCCCTTTGCTTTATACATATTAATTCCAGATAAAACACTGAATCAGAGCAATAAACGGAATACAGCAAATTTAACCCAGGGTTAACCCACACAGGACGCTGGATGGTACGGGCAGGACAGGACCCTCCTCTGAGTCCCAACAAACAACAAACCCGACCGACCCAGATGCTAGGAGTCATCTTCTGGACCCTTGGCTGAACATTTCACAAGGGATTTGGTGAAATGATAACAAAATAATGTCAGATATATGGCATCTCACTTACCCAAGTAATACGTGATAATCAGGGGGGGTTTACAGTGACCCATGAACAGATACTCATTAAGAACATACTCATGTTTGCATAATCATAAATAAATAACTTTCAAAAATACATCTTTGGAATCATTATATATCTTACTCTTCAAAAATTCAAAGCTTTATTAGTAGGTACGTAAGCACAGAATATGGCAAACAACGTTTCATCGAGACTCCCGCCCTCCCCATATGGTGATTTCGGAGTAGGGGTGGGGTCCTTCTCAGAAACCGGTCAGAACATTGCTAAACAAGTTCTTTGGGAGCTGAAGAGCACACAGTGATGTTTTATGTTTTGATGATTTATGATTTGCCAGGGTCAGAGGCGTACTGCTCCAACATCATAATAATAACAATAATAATAGATACTTCATTGATCCCTGTGGGGAAATTGGCTTTATGCCTCCCTCAGCTTGCTCCTTGTAGAGTAAGCCGTCTGTGAAGGGCAGCCTCATGTTGGGATGCCCAGGGCCTTGCGGATGTGCAGAGGCTGGATTTGAACTGGTGACCTTCTGATTACCACATGCTGCCCCCTTCAGGGGGGATATTGTTGGTCACCCCCAGCCCCGTCCCAGCACACACCCCTATGCCCAAGCATAAGCCCCCCCTCCGCCCAGTCAGCCCGCTCACGCCTCCCAGCCAAAGTTGTGGCCAGTCATCTGGTAGAACTTCATGTTGAAGGGGCGGTAAAACTGCCGGAGCCTCTGCAGCACTTGTGGCTGGATGCCAGGGTGGGTCCGGCCCTTGGTCTTGCCCAGGCAGTGCGGCTTGCTGCTGCCCTCGGCCTTCTTCAGGCAGGGGAAGCCCTTGGTCTGGTTGAAGTAGAAGTGCTTATCGGTGACGATGCGCTTGAGGCCCAGGAAGTCCTGCACGCGGGCCAGCTCGCCGGCGGGGTCGCTGATCAGCCGCTCGCCGCTCACGAACAGCATCTGCCGCAACGGGAAGAAGCGCAGCCAGTTGTCCAGGTGCTTGGCATAGATGCCGATCTGCACGGCGCTCCACGAGGTGTCGATGAGGCCCACGCTGCGGTTCCGGAAGGTCAGGCTCTCAAAGGTGGGGATGTCGGGCTTCTTGGACAGCGTCTGCGTGTAGTCGGACACGGCTCGGGTGACGGGGTCCCGCACCACCACGATCAGCTTGGTGTCCCGGGACATGGCGTAGATGCGGGCCGGAGCCTCCCGCGTCACGAAGTAGCTGGGCGTCTTCTCCATGGTGATCTGGCCCTCCAGGGTCCTGGGCATCAGCTCTCTGGGGGGAGGGGACAAAAGAAGGTCATAATTGGGGGCAGCAGAGCATCGACGGTGAGGTGGAGTGAAGTGATGGAGAAGGGCATGGGGGGCTGTCTTATAATGCAATTAACTACATGGGGAGACCCCCCCCCTCACAGTCAACACGTCTGCGCTTAGGCTACATGGAGATGCTACATATAACAATACATATAATGATGAGAACATAAAACACATCTACAGACACACAGACATAGACACACAGTACCTGAAAAACTGGGGGTGGATTAATTAAGGTGAAGTTAAACTATGGTCAGCCCTGCTGTTCAGCCTCCAAACAGCCACCTCCCACAATGAGCCCCCAAACAGGCACCTCCCACAATGAGCCTCCAAACAGGCACCTCCCACAATGAGCCTCCAAACAGGCACCTCCCACAATGAGCCT